TGCCTCTGGGCATTAAACCCAGGATTAAGATATCAATTAACTGAGGCTGGAATGTTCCACTGATTAAAACAGTAGCAAGACAGGATGAAGTATCTCCAAATTCAGGCTCCAAGTATCAAACTGCCACTGTGTACACAAAACCCATGTAAAGGATCAGGCATTCCATCTCTCTTAGAGATAAATGTGCAGGGGATGGTTCTGTGGGAGCCAGGAGGGTAGGAATTCAATACCACCCTATGAGCATTCCTTCCAATAACCCAGTGATGGAAAGGATAAAATCCCAGAACAGGAAGAACCGAAAGAAAAGAGCTGATTAACATTATTTATCCTCTGGAGGCTCAATCAGTAAGTACTCTCAAAGAAACCACGGTCATGAAGAAAATAGTGGTTTAGTACAACTGTGAGTTAATGTGTGCCTGTGGCCTACCTGGAGATAGGCAGGTAGGCAGGCTGTGGACAGAGAGGAATAGGTACCCGCTGAGCCCTAACCTGACCATGCCTTCCCCTCTGCTGATGCTCCTACATTCTGTCTCCTGCCTTCTGGCAGACGGTAACACTCTGGTGTTCTCACTCTGCCACTTTCTACTTGGTTTTGTGGACTGACTTAGGGTTAAATGCCTATTAATTGAAGAAAAAGAGGACCAAGTACACTGGAATACTTCTCACACACCCATCTGAATCCAGGTCATCACCTAGTGTCTTTTCTAATTCGGGACGTGTTATCCAGGATGCAGGAACCTAGTGTACGTCTGCCCCTAAATCATCTACTTTTACCATCTCCTGTAGACAGAGATAGGCAGGGGAATAGAAAGAGATGTTACCCACTGCCTGATTAATACATGCAGGATGCTTTCATTCCGTGTAACTAACAGCCCTAAAAACAGCAGATGACTCAATTTCGCACAGTCTCACTTAAAACCCAAGAATACACACGGCAGTTGCTGACATGCTTGGTCTTCTCTGACGCTTCCAGAGATAGTTAACCAAAACCAAGGCACTGAGCTATTATACTGTATGAAAGTATCTCCTTTTATTGCCTACCCCACCTTCAGATCAATTTAATCATCTACAAAACAGGAAAGTAGAATCTCAGTCTAAAGTATGGAAAATGGTTGCTCTTATTAAATTTCAACTTTTGACCTTCGCATTCAAACTGCAATACCCAACACAAGAAAAGAAATTATCAGTTATGATCTCATGTTTGTGGGGAAGACTATGATTATAGAGGAATTTACAGGAAATCAAAAAGGCACTGCTTGAGAGAATGGAAAACAATAAAACAGTCGCAGTAAGGAAATGAATGACACCCAAACAGAAATGAGAAAGGAAGCATCCCTGTGCCATGAGAGGCTGCTTGCTGCCTCCCAACCAGAAGGCTCCGAGAGGAAACACAATCCCCAGCCCAGATGCCACCGGGATCTGGGATGTGTGTGGGTGGTGGGACGTGGTGCCAGAGGGAACGCAGCTGCACACCCCAATACCCCACACCACAAGATCCATTTCAAGGGCTCTGAGTACCACATGTTATGTCCAGCAGGGTCAAGAATGAGCTGAGGGAAAAGCTGACTACAATCAGGAAGTGCCCCTTCCTCAAGGGTGCTCCTCAGGGTTCCAGGAGGCAGCACAAGCACAGGCCCTGGAACCATCAGCCTGGGCTCAACTCTTGGCTGTTGCCCAGACAAGTCACTAATCTCCCTGAGCCTCACCTTCCTTATCTGTAACTTGGGGATCATTAGATCACCTGCCCTGTAACATAGATAAAACGTCTCTTCAAATAAGGGGACATGCGTTCAGTGTACACACAGGAAATCACAAAAGATGATGGCCATTGAAATTGACTTATGTCAGCACTTATGAATGACAATTCAATCCTTGAGCTATCCCCCAGGAGGTCCCACCAGGAGACTCAGTGTACTGTCACCTCCACACCATGAGTTAGGTATTACTATATCCCCATTTTAAGATGATGAAGTTGAAGCTCAGAAAAGTCAAGAGATTTCACAAGTGGGTCAGGCTGGGGTTAGAATTCAGATGTGCCTACGTCCCAAATTAATGGTTTTGCCACTACCTTCATGTGTCTTCCCCCTACAGGGCCTAAAGAGAGAGGGTGGTGGTAAAAGCTGAAAGGATGGACACAGGTGTCCACAGATGCATCAATGAGTCATAAGTTAATGTCATAGAAAGCCCACACTCTCCTATAAGTGGGAGGGACCTGCCAGCCAGTCTTCCAGAATTACTTCAGTCACTCAGAGACAGCAATTATCATGACTACAGCGGACCTCACCGAGAATGACCGCAGCCACTAGAGCAGCCAGGATCCATGCTATGGAACACACCCCTGAGGCAGTAAGGGCTATGTGACATTTCTAAAATAATTCTACTGCCATCAAATGCCAAATCAGTCCATTCTGCTGCTCACTTTAGTAACGCTGGGACATCTTCTTACGAACACAATATCTACCTCAGAGCTTTGGAAATGTCACTAGAATTAAAGTGTGCTTCTTCCAAGTGACAAGCTAATGATTTATCCCTTAGGAGATGTCAAAGTGCACAACCTACCCTGCTCTCCAAAGCACTCAAATCATAAGTGACCATGAAGGAGTGTCCTATATGAAGCGTACATGGACACAAGCCTGTTCCTGAGGATCCAGGGTTTATTTTTCTGCCAACTGTGGCTGCAGGTAGGCCAGGCATCTGTTACTTTTTAAAAGCAAAAAGAGGCAGCTGTGAACTTGAAGGACACAGGTTCTCACGCTCACAGATGTGTGGCTATGGTGGGCACTGGGCCAGAGCTGAGGGCCCACCTGACAGTGAACTCTCCCAAAGATCAGCACCGACCCTGTCGACAGCACTAAGGCCTAGCCCTCTCCCCCACCAACATGTGCCTCATACTCCACACATCCCAAACACCCTCCTGATCTGCCACCGCACCTGCCCCTCCCAGTCTTCCCCATCTCAGTGATGGCACCACACAGCAGTATGATAAAAATCCAGAGTCACCTTCAACTCCAACATTTACTCAACTGTTACAGCCAGTTCCTCACCAAGAGCATTCTTCTTAACCACCTCTTTACCCCTGGGCCCCTGCAACAATTTCCTAACGGGTTACCTGTCTCTACCTTTGTGCCTCTACAATGGACTCCCCAGTCTGAGGCCAAAATGATTTTTAAAAATGCAAACCTGATCCTACTATTCTCCTGCGTATACTCTTCAAAGGTTTCCTGTGTTTTCTGTTTCTCTTAAGACAAAGTCAAAAACTCACCAAGGCCAGCCTAGCCTCTTCCTGTCTCTCTATCTCTAGCTTTTGAAAAACTGGCCCCTCAGCCTAGTCTCCTCTACTTCTCCCCCACATCCCCAAATTGTACCAGCCAACTCCTAGCCATCCTTCAGGAGGCAGTGTCCCCAACCTCCAATACTGAATGAGCATGGCCCCCAACTAGACAGAAAATCGTGGCTACATGGAATTAAGATCTGATGTGAAGAGACCACACATCCCTCCATCAAGTGATGATTCGGCAACGAACCTGCCATCTTCAAGTGCAGCCAGCCAACACAGGGGAAAAAAGTTCTGGCACTACCAAAGAGCAACCTGATGGCTTAGGAAGAAAACTGGTGGCACATCAGCACTGGGGGCATTCAGGACCTAGAGGTACTCCCTAACTGAAAATGCTTTTGCTGCAGCAACCTAATAGAAACCAGTTATGCTGTTAAGGGCTGCCTGTGTTACCAAGGGAAGAAAGCTGGTAACAAAAGAAGTATATAATAGAATGCCACACTAGTCAAGATATATGCATGACCTGCAGAGAAAATATTCACCTTTCTAGTAACGGAGTCCCTGAGTGGTGCAAATGATTAAGCACTTGACTGACAGCTAAAAGTTTGGCAGTTTCAAGCCACTGAGAAGTACCTCAGAAGATAAGCCTGGTGATCTACTTCACATAACCTTGAAAACCACAGGAGCAGTTCTACTGTGCACACATGGGAGTCACCAAGCCAGACTTGACAGCAATTAACAACAGCAGTAAAAGGATTATGTGTGATGTTTATTTTTACCCTTTTCCTACCTACTTAGCTAACTTACCTTGGCTTACTATGGTAGGAGTTTCAAAAAGATTGAAAACAAAGGAAAAGATGAAAGAAAAAAAAAGACATCCAAGTGACTCATGTCCTTTCTAAGAAACAAACCAAAGAACAAATGCAAAAAAAAAAAAAAAAACAAAGTAGAAGAGGCAGAAAGGGTAGGTTCTGTGGAAAGGCTTGTCTGAGGGGCTCTTTGAGATGGGGGGGGGTAGACTGGAGGGTCTCCCACCTCCCTGAGCACAATTAATAGCCAAGGTGGCCATGGGCCATACTTACCACTCAACAATCTCCGGATGAAGAATGGTGTTATTGACATTAAACCTATAGGGAAGAAACAAATGAAGCCCATTAGTTCAATGGTATATCATCTCCCAGCGAGAAATACCTCATCCAAGTCATGTACACCATGACAGAGAGAGGACCCCAAACTTTAACTGCATGGCTCCTTGGCCTGCAGAAGGCCTGCTGATCACCTCCTACAGCAGGCCTGGCAGCCTGGGCTGTGTCAGCTAGGGTGAAAAAGTATCGCTTCAAACCATAATCATCCCTACCACTACTGGGCAGACAGCATGGCCTCCCATGGCTCCAGCAACTTGGGAAGAGCATTAAGAAAGAAGGAAGATACTACATACTTACAGGTTTCTGAACCTGAAAGCAACATGCTTGAAAACCTGAGCATGCAATCATCTCAGCCTCCAGTGAGGCATCTGGGGTAATGAACAGCCAAAGGACAGGGGAAGGGGCAAGTTTTAGCATCCTACCAGCTTATACTTCTCAGAAACAGGCCCTGGACTCAGCCACACATGGAACATTCCCTCTGCCACCAAATGGTGACATGGGATGAGGTGTCACTGTATGATAAAAAAAAGGAGGCCACATCTTCTGATCTCCTCTAACCCCACAAGAGGAAGACAGAATCACCATCAGTAGCCCAAGGCCTATTCCTGCGAGGCCAGACATGCTGCCTCCCTCCAGCCCTTTCACCAACCCTGACACCAACCGTTTCTCCAGCAGCACTCACCACCTTTCTGCTGGGTTTGATAATCCACTGCAGTGGCCACACAGAACTCGCAGATTATGGGGTTTATTAGGGAAGCACCAGGCTACAATTCAAGTTCAGGAAAAATGCTCAGTCTCTTTCAGCAACTCTCCCAGCAATGCGTGTCTTTCAGTGTCTCTCTCAGCAATGCATGTCTCTCAGTGTCTCTCTCAACAACGCGTGTCTCTTGTGCCTCTTTCCCAGTGGTGCGTGTCTCTCAGGACTGAGTTTCTCTCAGAACCATGTTTCTCTCAGGAGCACCTCCTTCTCAGCCAGCAGTCAGAGAGAGACTTCTGCCTCTAGGAGGCCTCCTTTTGAGCCTGGCAGAGTGGCCAAACTAGCCAATCAGAATTCTAAGCACCTGAGAGACAGCAAACTTTCCAGAACATTGCTTTGTGCTACTGCTCAACAGAAGTATCCCAGGTGGATAACTTTAGCAATCAGGAGCTCCTCAGTTGCTCATGGCAAATTCCACCTCAGAGTTTACAAAGCCTTATGGGTAGAAAAGCCACACTAAGTAATTTACTACACCATACTACAGTAGAGGTTCCAAAAGGGGAAAAAGAACTTATGGACTTCATCCATCATCTACCAAGAAACCTTCACATATGTGCTACTAGATTCATGAGCAAATAAGATGGCTATAAAGGGGAAAAAAATCTAAAGAACTAAACAGATTAAGAGAAATAACTGACTTTAATGAGGGAATAACTGGTACCAAACTTGCCCTCTTGTCATAAACAAATAAAAAAAATATTTAACAAATATGAAACTGTTCCAGATACTTGACAACAGGCAGCACCAAACACTGATCCCTGAAAAAACAAATTAGGTGAGTGTTGTGCTTGCCTCAGCTTCCTGCCTGGGGACACTTTCTAGACTTTGGTGTAGGAAGAGAAAACCCAAGCAGAACATATGGGTCTCAGTGAAGCAAGGAAACTGACTAGAGTTCAGGGAAATCAGGGCAGCTTAAATTTGTGAGGTAGAATACAAGAGGAAGCTACATGAAGAAAAGCGTTCCAGAGGCACAGAGGTCCCCACAAATCTGTACTGAACACTAAGATGTGCACATGTAGGGTAAGGTTCCTTGAGGCCTAGCAAAGAGCAAGTACTGGGAGTGGCAAACTGGAACGTTCCCAGTGTTCACACAGAACTAGGAGACACTAAAGATCTATTGCCTTCCTTCACAATGCTCTCCTGAGGAGTGCTGGAACCACAGCCTTGTTCTGCCACTGACAGGGCTAAATGAAGTGGGCTGTCTACCTTGGGCAGGAAGGTAGGAGTGGTGGCAAGCAGCTCTGGCAGCCAATCTCCTCCTCTCTGCCCTATTGCTAGCAACAGATTGTCTCAGCTTCAGTGTGTCTGAAAAAAATCTTTATTATACTCCATTTTGGGAGAGTGTTGTAACTGGATATAGATTTCTACTTTTTTTTTTTTTTGCCTTTTGTCTTTCAGTAAAGTTGTGTCCACAGTAAGTTCTGTCAAATAGGATGGTATGTGATTTGGACATCGTGTGAACACCATATTGTGCGTGGTCCTACTTTTTCTTTAAGCATCGTGAACAAGCTTTGTGCCTTCATAGAGATCAACATGCTGAGAGGGGATTCACTTTTACATTTGGTCTTCAAACCATGTCACTGGCAATTTCTCCATATCTCATACAGGCCCCTTTCACAGTTTCGTTAGCCTCATAGCTTTCAGTAGGACCAATTCTTTAATGACTTAGAGAATTTTTTGCTTTTAAAGATTGTCATGATTACTGAGTATGCCATGCTTAAATGGTGAGCAATAGCATTCACTGATTTTCCACCTTCCTGTTATTTAATAACCTTTTGCTTCACTTATAAATCAATACTTCCACTTTGTCTCTTGCTGCTGCTATCACTAGCACTAGTTTTGCTGTATTTAGGAGGCATGATGCACTTTACAGTAATACTGTCGAAAGAAAATTTAACAGATAACACTACAACACTCAAGAAATGCATGATACAAGAGATCAGAAGTTACTGCTATGAATTGAAGCATGGTTATGGTAAACATCTTAGATACAAAGTACAGTAAAGTACATATATAAGCCAGTAACTTAGGTTTATTATGACTATCAAGACCTATGTATTAAAAGTTATATATGTACTGTACCATATATGCCTGGCAGCACAATTGCTCTGTATAACAAGAGATGTGAGATACAATTGTTGCCTGCAGGAAGCTGTTGTGTCTGCTACGTCCTGTTGTCTGATGGGGATTTCTAACCTTATGGGACCACAGATGTGTATGCGGTCAGACATTGTTGCCCAAACGGGTATTACGCAGTACATGATTATACTTTAAAGATATTGTTACATCATACACTGGCTTACAGTGTTTCTTACAAGATGTTAGTGGCGGTAATTCTTCAACAATTTAAAAATTTTCCAAGTTCAATTAAAATTATATACCACCAAGAAGTTCAACAAACCCCAAGCACAGAAGATTACCATAAGCACAGCATGTTCAAATTGCCAAAAAACACAGAGAAATCTTAAGCAACCAGAGCGGGGGGGGAAATAAAGACCTGTTATATACAAAGATAAGCATTATTAATATTCAAGATACTTGACTATTTAAACTTAAAGTAATAATAATGCATGGTGTGGTATATAATACATATACAAGTAAAATTTGTGACAAAAATAGCACAAAGGACTGTTGTTGTTATGTGCCATTGAGTCTGACCGGACTCATATCAACCCCTTCTTGGGTTGCTGAGGCAGTATCACTACGGAAGTAGATTGCCCAACCTTCCTTCTGAGGAGTGGCTGGTGGATTTGAATCACCAGCCTCCTGGTTAGCAGTCAAGTGCCTTAGGCACTACGCCACCAGAGCTCCTAGCACAAAGGATAGAAGAGTGTAAATGATAGAACGTTGCTGTAATGTTCTTATGCTGTAAGTGAAGTGGTATGTAACTTGAAGGGAAACTGTGACAAGTTAAAGATGCCTACTGTAAACTCTGGTAGCATAGTGGCTAAAGCACTTGACTGCTAACCAGAAGGCTGGCGGTTCAAACCCACCAGCCACTCCTCGGAAGGAAGGTTGGGCAATCCTACTTCCGTAGTGATACTGCCTCGGAAACCCAAGGAGGGGTCGCTATGAGTCGGGGCCGACTCGATGGCACATAACAACAACAACAACAACAACAACTGTAAACCAAGCAACCAACAAAAAATGAATACCCCAAACTAGAAAGACATACCTAATAAGCCAGTAGAGGAGATAAAATAGAATACTAAAAAATACTCACTCCAAAAGAAGGCTGGAAAGGAAAAAGGACCAAAAAAAGAGAGGGAACAAACACAAAGCAAATAATAAAACAGTATACTTATATTCAATCACATTAATGATGACCTAAACACTTCAATTAAAACTAAAATAAGGTCAGTAAAACAAAGCGTGACCCAACTATTTCTGCCTATAAGAGATGTACTTTAAATGTAAAGATAAAGATAGGTGAAAAAGAAAGGAAAAAAGAGATGAAAAAAGATATGCCAGGCAAATACTAAGCATAAGAAAATTAGAGTATATCTATCAATATCAAAGCAGACATCAGGA